TATATATATATATACATATATACGTACGCGACACGTATCTACACGCACACGTGTGTTACGCGTCTCCTTACGTGGCATACGTAGTAGTATTATTTATTATAGAACGTTGTTTATTTGTTATAACGGATTATAAGTCGCACCAGTCTCCGGTAGTGAACCGTTTTTTTTTTTCTTCTTTTTTTTTTTCTTTATTATTATTATTATTTTTTTCTCTTTTTTTGCTTTCTTTCTTTCTTTGTCTTCGTTCGAAATAAAAACTTTTTTTCCCTTCTCGATCCCTCTGTTCTTTTCTTTTCGTGCACGTGCGCTGGCGCTCGTAGAATACACACACGGACGTATACACACATACACACGCACGCACACGTACTCGAAGGCACGCACTTGTACACACGTAGGACAGTGGCGCGCGCGCGCACACACGCAATCACGCGGATTCTCACACGCAGATACTCTCACGCGATTATTCCTCTTCTCTGCTCGATCACATGTACACTCGAGCGCCATTCGAGTCGACGATCGTTCAATATCTCGATCGACTCGTTTTTTTTTTTTTTTCTTAGAATTTCACCGTTTTCCATCGATACGGATCGTCTCGATTCGTCGTAATCGAGCTCCTTATTTTTTTTTTTCTTTTATTCCTTCTTACGTTTAGTTAATTTCTTTTTTTTTTTCTTTCTTTTTACTATGTATATATATATATATTTATTTATTTATATTTATATTTATATGTATGTATATATGTATGTATATAATGGTGGCTAAATTGACAAGTGTTTATATCGAAGTTTATATTCTCTTCTTTCTTTTTTTTTTTTTTTTTAAAGACCTAGGTACCTAGACTGGCAATGTTTAAAGTTATGCACGGTTCTTTTAGTTTTTCGAATTTCGTTATCGTTACTTTTTTCCCCCTCTTATTCTTTGTCCTCGATCTCCATCGTTCCTCCATCTTCCATCCGCCACCATGTTTCGCGTGTCTCCCCAACTTTCGATTTCTCGCGTATCGTTGGATGATTATATTCACGTTCACGTTCGTGGTGATCGAAAAACAAAAAAAAAAAAAAAAAAAGAAAAAAAACACGGGGGGAGACGAGAATCAGCGACGAGCATAAGATCCGAGCATCGCGTCGCAGGCGAAATTTACGAAATTGAAGAAATCGTCACAGGAGTAGTAGTAGTAGTCACAGCGCGTTTTAGTCGTCCAACCGGTCTGACCAGCGACCGTCTCTAACCCCTACTCGAAGCCCGGAGTGGAGGCCGGTTTTTGCTCGCCTATTTTCTTCTCCTTCCGATCCGACACTTTTCATTCTCGCACTGTGTTCGCGGAACAGTGTTCCCAGTCGGATCGATCGACTGCTAACTTTCACTCCCCACCCTCCCTTCCATCCATCCACCTTATCTTCTTCCTTTCACAAGTGTTCCACTCGCGTCGATCCAACCTTACCGGTCGTCTCATCGTTGTACAGTTTTATCTAACTTCGTGGCTCGTAACGAAGTGATCACAGCGTTGTATTCAATGTTCGCGGCCCGTTCGCTGGACCATTGATCCTTGGAGTCGATCTCGTCTCGTCCCAATTCTCGATACATTTTCGTAACCGCACGTCTTTAACCGCACGTTTCGCCCGACTCGTACGCGCGATCGCCGCGCCATCTTCGTTTATTTCGCCTCCTCGAGAAGCACAAGATCGTCCGCCACGACGTCGCTGATGTGCAGGTAGATGATCCAGTACATTAGGTTGAAACAGACGAAGCATACCGGAAACACGATGCGGGAGTATTTATCGATATCCGATGGCGTCATACCTGGTATGAGAAAGAAGAGAGAGGAAAAAAAAAGCACAGTTTTTATGTTGTAATCAAAGTGTGTAAATTTCTTCGTACGAAAGGAATTATCACGGATGTGAACAATATATTTTTTTATTTGAATACATCGATGTTTTACTTCTTGCCGGAAAATAATAATTGTATCGATTTTAGATCGACTTTTGAACAAGGCTAATTTATTATTACTCTTGAAGATTTTTATATATCATATTGATCCGAATTTGATTAGAAAAATCGTGTCTACATTTTTCTATGTAAATACATCGATGTCTTACTTCTTGCCGGAAAATAATAATTGTATCGATTTTAGATCGACTTTTGAACAAGGCTAATTTATTATTACTCTTGAAGATTTTTATATATCACAAAAATCGTGTCTACATTTTTCTATGTAAATACATCGATGTCTTATTTCTTGCCGGAAAGTAATAATTACATCGATTTTAGATCGACTTTTGAACAAGGCTAATTTATTATTACTCTTGAAGATTTTTATATATCACATTGATCCGAATTTGATTAGAAAAATCGTGTTTACATTTTTCTATGTAAATACATCGATGTCTTATTTCTTGCCGGAAAGTAATAATTGTATCGATTTTAGATCGACTTTTGAACAAGGCTAATTTATTATTACTCTCGAAGATTTTTATATACATCGTTGATTCGAATCGAATAATAATTGGAAATAATTATTGCGCGAGAGTTTTAAAGGAAATTGAACTCGTACCGTAAAGCTTGTTGATATCCTTCCCGGGATGGATGAGATGTTGCGGCGCCGGCGCTGCCTCCTCGTCAGCCCGCCCATTTATAGTGTTCTCGAGCGTTCCACCTTTGCTGTGTGCCTTCGGGTCGTGGACCTTGAACCGCACCTCCTGGACAACACGGGACCACTTACAAGAGACACGGCAGTTCGTGGTGGGGCGTCCTTTTTCGAGGAGAACCCCTTACTTTGGTAGATTGGCATGCGACATCGAGGATGGGCAAACGCGTTCTCTACTACGATTTTTACGATATTTCCTCGTCACTTTCAACCCTTCTACGACTCACCTTTCACATTCTTCGCTAATTCTCCCCCTCCCCCCATTTTTCGCGTTCGTTCAAACGGTTTCAAACGTAAGCCTCGTGCTCGGATATAATCACGTTTGGAAAGGGAGGGAAGGAAGGGGAGCTTTTTATTCTTATACGCGTCATTTCCTTTCTTTCTTTCTTTCTTTCTTTCTCCCTTTGCTATTTTTTTTATCTTCCCTCTCATAAGCCATAAAAACCCCAAGCCGACGAAACGAGCCGGCTCGTTCTTGTTTATAGCGCGGCACGGCTCTTTACAACGTGTCGAAGAACGTAATAATTAATCCGGTTGAGAATTAATTAAAACGTCTTATCCTGGCGACATTTTACGCGCGATGGCACCGCAATGCCATCCATCCGTCACCACCGCCTCCTTTCTACTACAACCTTCCTTCTCTGTCTCTCCCTCCCTCCTCCCCGCTCCCTTTAATATTTTTCGTTCTCGTTTCACAATCCCCGAGATTAAAAGGAAAATTTATAGTGCATCGCATGTCCGGGCATGCGAACCACGCCGACCGGCACAACACGACCGAATGGGAATTCATTTCACAGAACCTTTTAGCTTTTGACCTTTCGCGGTTCACTCGGTTTTTGAGCGAGAGCAAAAGGAGGAAAAAAAAAAAAAAAAGGAGAAAAAAGGAATATTTCGTTTTTCCATACCTCTGTTTTTCTTTTTCTTTCTCTTTTTTTTTCGTCGTTGGACCGCGAAAATGAAAGATCGAACGATCGAAATCTTCCCGTTATCGCGTAACAACTCTATATTCGACAGAGTACGATCCGAAATTGCCGAGTTTTCACACAAATGTGAAAAGAAAGAAAGAAAATGCGAAATTTGCAATAAAATAACGATGCAAGGCTAACTCTAAGCGCTAAGTGAGTTCTACTGCTAATCGTTACTGCTATTCTACTGCGATTAGATTTTTCTTTTCTTCTTTATTATTTTTTTTCTTCAATCTAATTCGATAAATCTACGTAAGTTTTCTTGAAAAGAATTCTAATTCCAATCGGAAAGAAATGGGGTAGGGCAGGTCGGCCGATTTTACACTCACAGTTTGCTTAGGCGCGTGATCGCCGTGATCACCGGGCACCCCGGGTGGGCCCGGGTTTTCCCTCGCCGTCTTCATACTCTCCGCGATTTTTTGGAACCGGTTCTTCCTCATTTGAATCCTCTTTGCCATGTAGCCCACCGTCGCGTATTCTGTGAAAACACACACGGGAAAATGCGAATAATGAGATCCTCCCATTGTCACGTTGAAAAGAACTTAAACCCGTAACGGATTCCAATGGAAAGGAATCTCCTCGATTTCTCTCTCTCTCTCTTTTTCTCTCTCCTCAAAAGAACAGAGAAATACCAACAGTTTTGATTTTCCATTCGACAGAATGATACCTTTCCTGATACAAAAATCAATCATATTCTGCATAGAAATTAATTGTAAATTAATTGAAGATTAATTGTAAATAAAATTTCATTCTCTTCAGATAGATGGATATATACTTTGTATATTTGTATATTTGTTTCTGATTTTTTTCGTTTAATCCATGATGAGATTAGAAGAGAAGGAATAATTAATATTTTGGCAATGGACACTTACCGAGCAACGAGGCGAACACCATGACGAAACACGTGCCCAGGTAAACGTCGATCGACTTGACGTAGGAGATTTTCGGTAACGCCGCGTTCGTCGAGGACATTAGGGTGGTCATGGTGAGCACGGTGGTCACTCCGAGGGCGACCCGAGCGGGGGTCGCGTTACGGTTCAGCCAAAAGCTCACCCACGATATAATGACGATCAAGCCCGAGGGTATGTAGATTTGAATCAGGTAGTAGCCCATCGACCGTACGAACTGGATCTCGCAGGCCAGCCGCGAATAATTTCCTACGATTAAAAGATCGACAGTTAGGATTAGGGGGGACGGAGAGGCGCCATGAAATGTCTCTTCCCGTTTCTTTCTTTCTTTCTTCCTTCGTTCTATTCTTATTCCACGTCTCTCTCTCGCTCTTTCGCCCTTTTTTTTTTTTTTCCATTTTCATACTTCCCTCTTCTACATCTATATATGCATATGTATGCATATGTATCTCTCTCTTTCTCCACCGGCCCCTTCTCGCTTCCTTCCTTCTCCTTCTTTTCATCTCTTCCTTCCTCTCTCTTCTCCTCTCGTCTCGAGGCGGGATGATTAAGCAAACTCCCGTCGTCCCATCTCCATTCTTGATGGAGAATCCTCAAGTGCGCGCGCCTCGAGAGAAAGAAGTTTTGGCGAAGAGGGCGGAAGAAAGGAAGGGAAATCGAGTTGTTGCCCTCTTCCCGCTTCTTATTTCCGCCGGGAAAGAACGAGGGCGGCTACCATAGATTCGCAAGAAGAATCGTACGCGGGAAGAAGAAAAAGGATATTTGCTCCGATTTGCTCCCTCCGATTATCGAGCCGAATCGTTAGCTCGAATGGAAGGCTTTCTCTTCAAAGAAAGCGGACGAAGAAACGAAAAGGTGGGGTAAAGATGAGATTCGTTCGCGTGATTCGTCAACGGGATGATCGTGATCACGGCGTTCGTGTCTTCGAACGAAAGGATATTATTAAGCTTCGAGCTTTGACGAGAGAATCCCTGGATCTCGAGGGAGGAGGAGGGGGAGGAGGAGGACTCGTTGGAAGATTTCGTTAGAAAGATTTTCCTCGACTACTATATATATATATAGATTTTTCGAAGAAGGGTTGACGCTTGGAAACGGTGGATATATCTAAAAAAAATTTTCCTCTCAATTTTCCCCGACCAGGTCGCGAGAAAGAGAGAGATATCGATCGATCGATCGATACGCAGAATAATAACTGTTGCTTCGAGCGACATCGTAGCTGCGGACATCGGATAGCGCAAAACGTGTCTCTCCACCTTGCCCATACCGTTAAAAGCGAGGGTTGAATTATTTATTTATTTATTGATATATATATATGTATTATTATTATTTTTTTTTGGTTGTTGGTGGGGGTGGGGTTCTATTCATACGTTACCGGTAGTTAGACTAATCTCCATGGCTCGTTGACGGTGACCAAGGACCTTGAACTGAGGCAGGGAGACCTCGTTGCTGACACCGACGCTGTTCGGTCCCTCGTTCCACTTGTACCGGATGTCCCTCATCGTGTATCCGACTGAAAAAATAGAGAGACCCCCCGCGGTTGGTACGTACCTTCGCGGAAGCCCTCAAACGCGTTTCAGCTCCGAGGGGGCCTCCACTTACCTCGCACCCCCGTCAAAACCCCAACAAGTCCGCTCTCTTTTTTTTTTTTTCTTCCTCTTTTCTTTCCCTCTTAGCGACATAAATGTTGTTTCTCTTTAAGCTAGTTACCAAGTTTCGATCTTTAGCTTCGATCTCCGTTGCGTATCTCTCATATTCATTCTTCTCTCTTTCTCTCTTTCACTCTTTCCTTCTCTCTGTTCTATCTATCTGTCTCCGTTCGTTCTTTTCCTCTTTCTTTTTTTTTTTTTTTTCTCACGAGAGAACCAATTCAACGGGGGAGTGATATAGTAATCCCCCATTCAGGGGGACGATCGAAAAGATCGAACACGAGCGGAAAAGGTGTTGCGTGCAAGCAAGTTTTATTTAATTTAGCTGTTTCTTTGTTCTGTCGTGATGTTTTGTCTCGATCGAGTTCTTTAAAGAAGATTCGCAGTGATGTTACTTTTTTTATTATTCCTCTCTCTCTCTCTCTCTCGATTTTTTCGAGAGCCCATCGTCGTCGTCGTCGTCGTCGTTGTCGTCGTGTCGATTTTTGATCTGATGTATTTGGTGGATGATTTCGTCGGAGATTGACTCGGTACTATTTTCCATAACGATCTTCTTTTTTTTTCATAAAAATATATATATATAGAGAGATCGTTAGGATATAAGGGGTTAGAGTCGTGAAATAGTACGTCGTCTACCTCGGACCCGATGATAAAAAGGGAGCTCGACTCGAGGAGGAACGATGGATACGTATGATCGGGGAGAGTTCGTCTTCGTCCTTAAGTTCCGTGGGTTCAAAGGTCGATGAGGTTGATTGATTGGTCGATCGGTCGATTGGTCGAATGAGTTAGCCCCGGGGACGGGTTTCGTCCTAACCTCTTCCTTGATCGGAACGATCGATAAGTGTTCACGGTATAAGGCAACACGGTGATATCGGTGCATATCGGTGCGAAAACCAGAAGAGAAACCAAAAAAAGAAAAAAAGGAAAGAAACAAATAAATTAGAAAAAAAAATAAAGAAATAAAAGAAAAGAAGGATAGATGTTAAAAGAGAGTATAAACGAAAGATATAATAATATTCGTATATACAATTATATACATGTACAAAAAGAAGTGGAATGAAGATAAAACGAAATAAAAAAAAAAAAAAACAGGAAACAGCTCCATACACATATATCGAACTTGTATATAACGGCGTGTATAAGACGCGTGTGACAATATAATGTTACAACAAGTCAATAAATTATTCAATAATTTATCTGCGCGAGCCTCTGGACCAAGTTCAGAAGGAAGAACTAATAAGAGGGGGATATCTACCTGTAGATAGGTGTATGGTTGAATGTCGTTGCCTGTGACCGAGCACGCGAAACTGCGGTAGTTCCACCTCGTTCGAGATGCCGACCGACTGTAGGCCGGCGTTCCATTTGTACCGAATATCGCGCATTGTGTATCCAACTGCCGGGAGAACAAGAACACAAATATCTTCGCTCTAACATACAATAATTAGACACTCAAGTTTTGTGTGATAGATATTAAAAGGACGTATATATCGGAGATATCATAGGTGGTTTTACCAAGGGGGTTAAAAACCAAGGTGGAGGGGTGGGTTTGGTTTTAGATCGAAGGGGTAGGGAAGGAGGGTAGATAGAAGCAAAAAAATATTTCATCCAGCACCCTAAACCGTTCCCTCGACTGCTCTCATATTCACGAGAAACATTAAATAAATTTCGTCGTATTCCTTACTTCTTTGTTGATCCATTGGATCGGCTTAAGGTGCGTTTATGCGCTGCAAAAAATCCAGCTAGGCGAGATAATTTGAAATAATCGTCGGCGGAAGCGACTTGACTTTAATCAAGCTTCCGCCGATTATCGTACGCGAACGATAAACGATAATATTTTGGTGTGCAGCGTATATGTATAATATATATATATATATAAATATTTATTCCAGCCTTTTATGGACGCATGAAAAGTAGTCCGGTTTTAAATCGAACCGGTGTTAAATTCCATCCAGCAACCGCCCTGGATTTATCTCAATGATCCTATCCTAGCTTGATTTACTTATTTCCGTACGTCCATAATTTTTTCTCGCAAAAAGAAAAAGAAAAACGGGCACGGCACACGAGTTATCGAGGCCACGGGGGGAGGGAACACGTTTCCCACTTTCTACTAAATATACAATCGCGCCTCGATTATTAAATGACGATGGGACAATGATAATTTATTACGACGCAGGTAGTAGTCGCAGGGAGTCGAAAACGTTGCGTTCGATCGAAGAGGGATCGAATTTTCCACGATCGATCGGAATTCGCACCTATTTATGCTCCTCTCTAATTCCTCGCCTCGCGGCCTCGAGCGTGCGCATACCGGGCCGAGAAACATTCCTCCGTAACTGAATCTTAGGTGATTACGATCGTTACACCGCATTCCAGGCACCAAAGTGGCATTCCATCGCGGCTACGGCCACATTGCGCGAACATCGGCGAAACGTGGATTAAGCGATATCCACGACCCGGCCATTCGAGATTAACTGCTTTTGTTTTTGGAACACGGAAATACTATCGCCGTATCCCCGTTTCCGTTTGCTCATTTTCGGCTCGGCAAATTCCCTCGCATCGTAATTCCGACCGAAATGCTTCCCCCCTTCCCCCAGATTTATCTGTTCGCAATGTTCGCGCGACTCTGGCGTGTGCCGATTGCCAGCCCTGATTCCGATGTTTCCCCCTCCCCCCCGAGCCTTCGTTAACATTCAACGGCTCCGCTTTGAAACGAAGAAACCGTGTAATTTAATTGATGCTAATTTTAAATCTATCGATCCCCCTCCTCTTTCTCCCCATCCCCCTCGATTGAATTTCGCCGGTTTTTAGTCTCGTGTTTTTCGCTTTTTTTTCGTTCCCTTTCGGGTTTTTTTTTAAAAAAAAAAAAAAAAAAAAAAGAGAGAAAAGAATCTAAATCGCTTTTGGTTTTCAAAATTTCCTGTCGACGCTTTTGTCGAAATTGTCAACGCGTGAAAAATCCATTTTGTAATTTGTTATTTCCTTGAACTGTACGAATGAAGCTTCAAATATTTGTTTAAAAAATTACGAACAGATAACATCCACGTGTATTTCATTCTTCCAAAAATATTTTTCCATTTCGAAAAAAAGGGAGGAAGATTCGTCCTTTTCGCCGATGTTCATCGTATTAATCGTTATTATAGGTTACACACACATAATAAATATATAAATAACCGAAATAGATAAAAAAAATGGGACTTTTCTCTCGTTTCCCCTACCAAAACAATTTTGTCCTGGATTGGGTTAACGTTAAGCGTTACGAGGTCCAAAAGGGGGTGCGGAGGGAGGAAAGAGGGAGGACCGGCGAAGAGGGGAGGATTGCGGCAAAATTAGCAAAGAGTAATAACCATATGGGATGGTGGTAGTGATGGTGGTGGTGGCGGCGGTGGTGGTAATCAAGTTTGGATCATATAAGACGATAAGTGGAAAGTGTATAAAGTAGATATTTTATATGGAGAAGCGAAGAAAAAAAAAAAAAAAGGAAAAAAAAAAGAAAATAAAAAAGTCTCGTGCCATTTGCATGCTGCGGTTGTGCGGGGGATTTGGAAGGAACGTTTGGGGTGGATTTCGGGCGCGCGCTCCCTTCGCGCATATACACGCACACACACACACGCAGAGATACACGCACGTACACGCGTCGACAGAGAGAGAGACACACATGCATCAGCATATACAATCGCATGCTTCGTGCCCACGTAATTTTGTACGTATCATGCCCGATGCCGCATGCTTTGTGCTTCACCAGTGACACGAATTCTGAACACGAAATTTAACTTCTTTTTTTCTTCAATCCACCTTCCTTCCCCGTTGGAATCGTCGTTCGCAATATACAAGCTATTTAAAATTGGATCCCATTTAGCCCGGGATCGAATTTCACTCGATCAATTTCCACGTTAACGATCTATTCCCATCTCGTACAAAAGGAATTCCCTCTTTCGAAACGAGCGAATTATTATTCGAATATCGAACGAAATTTTCGAATAAAACACGAAAACGAGGGGAGCGTATCTTTTCGAAGATAAGAAAAAAGATTCGAGAATTTCTTTTTTGCCAAGGGATCCTTGCCCCCTCATTCTAATTTTTTTTTGTAACGTTGCGGACATTTCGTTCGCGGTTAATATCGCGGATACTCTTCGAAGTAATTTATCACGGAAAGAAATTTTTTCCAAAAAAAAAAATCTCTCCAAAAAAAATTTCGCAACGTAAAAGCGATCGACGACGAAATTTGATATATATATATATTTCTTTTTATACAGAAAATAATATCTTCGCGTAATAAAATTGAAAAATATTCCCTCAACGAAAACATCGTTTCTGCTAGATTACTGACGACTCGAGCGGCGCATTCAACGGGTCGTTAAAGGCACGCACAAGTAGTAGAACAGGAAGCAAAAACTCGATGCCGACTAAAGTTGCGCAGTCGAAAATTCGGTCCTGGGTTAAGAGAGCGGAACAAAATATTTTCGTGCCACAGGCATGCCGACTTTCATCTAGGGCGGGGTATATTATCAAACTACGATCTATATACATATATATATATATATACATATATACATACATACATATATACATATATATAGTACGGTAATACAGCATACGCAAAAGTGGCCAGTAGGGAATGGGTGACCAGTAGTTCTTTTGGAGTATTATTTGAAAAAAGAGAAAAAAACAGAGAGAAAAAAAAAAAAAGAAGAAGAAGAAGTAAAAGATTTCGGTTTTTGAAAGTCGATAATTCATAACCGGATTATTTTGGAAAATAATATAATAATAATAATAATATATATATATATAGGCATACCGAACGGGGCCACGGCACGTCTCGTCGTGGCTAAAATGCTTTTGCAGTCGTTTCGTTCTTACATGCGCTGGGCTAGATGCACAATGCGTTTTAATTCGGTCGCACCGTAGTCGACACGTCGTTTTCTGTGTTTTAGCCTCCTTCGGGGCTGGCCGTCGTCGGCCCTTACTACGTCCCCGGACACGAGGCTCAGTGCTATATGTCGGAGGCTTTTTAGGGGGGCCGGGGGGCTTGGTTTATGCGATAGTGATGGTCAAGTGGTGGTAGTGGTGGTAGTGGTGGTGGTGGTGGTGATGGTGGTGGTGGTGGTATTGTGACAGTGGCAAAGTGGTGACTTTCAGTGTGTTCATGTAGCACACGTTCGTTTAAAGACGTTTTTCGTCGTCGGAGCTAAAAAAAAAAAAAAAGATCAAAACGTTTTTCCTTTTCTTTTCCTTTCCATTTTTTCGTTTCTTTTCTTTTTTTTTTTCTCGAAAAACTCTGATATGTACAGCCGTGTGCGTGTGCTCTACGGTTTTTTCTTTTTTTTTTTTCCTTTCTCAATTTACGTGCGATTTCTCCGTCGATCGTTCGATATTTTTCTTTTTTTCTTTTTTCCCATACATTCTTTCACACGATTTCCACACAACGATACGTGTTTCGATTTTCGAAATACTCTTTTTCCGTAGTTCCACGAAGCGATAGATTAGAGATATTCGAGAGAGAGACGACGAGTCTCGGCCTCGACACTCAGATGCGGAGAAATTACACTTAGGTTTCGCTAAGTACCGATGCGAGCAGTTCACAACAGTGGTAAATTGGTACAGTGGAGACCCTTCGGAGGATGCTCGTATAAATAATACATAATCTTACGGTTATATGATATACAGTCACGCAGATTGCGATCAAAGAAAACTCTTTCCTCGAATTATTCTCGACGAGAATAATCTCTTTTTGCATTTTCAATCTTTTTTTTTTTTCTTTCTTTCTCTCTTCCTTTTCACACGCGTGGAACCACCACTAAAAATGCGTCTACGTCCTCGTTGCGTGTACGTCGGCCGGCTCGATATCCATCAAATAAGATGCGGATTAACTTAAGCCGACCGATCTGCGTGATCGAGCTCACTACCTGTCGGTTGTTCGGTGTTACTGCAAATTGCACGTCCGCTCTCGTCCACGATACTGCAACGATCGTGTAACAACAGCGATTACATTGGAAAATGCTCTATGGAAAACATCATAAATTGGCTCGATAACGAAACACCCAATCCTTCTCTCTTCTTTTATTTATTTTATTTATTTTTTGTTTTTTTCCATCCAAAGCTTGACCATCCAAGGCTCTCCCGACATTAAATACAATCAGGCGCGTAACGAGATTAATCCATCGTTACGCGAACGATCTGGCGACAAATCGGCCATTTTAAATTTTCGAAATTTAACGAACCTCGATAGATATTTTTATTTATATCCCGAACAACACGAGATTTTTAATACATTTACACAATTTACTTTGCAATTTACTGGACAATAATTCGAGCACAGTTGAACGTCATACATATATAATTAATCCGTAATAATTGATCATCGGTTGATTTATCCGGTTTTTCGTTTCGGCTATTGCCACTTAACGGCGGGATTTTATTTCGTTTCGCCAACTCGAATGTTTGCCCGATACTCGACCCTCGATGCCAGAAAAGGAGGAGGAGGAAGGGGAGGATCGACGATCGATACTTCCTCCCTCCCTCCTCTCTTACCATTTACGTAAGTAGCGCCAACCTCGATATTAATCGTTATTAATTACCATTCCGCGGAGGGGAGGAAGGGTGGAATGGAGGGGGGCCGCGACAGATCGGAACAGAAATACTTCTAACGACTAGTAATAATTTAAAGCCGGGGGACGGGGGTGGAGCAATTAAGGACGACGGGACGGGATCCGGCTTTCTCCACTCCGCGAAACTAATCAAGGAACTTGGTCAAGTTACTTTGATATCTCGACCGTCCGACTTCCGCCGGCCTTTCGTCGTATCGTCCCGCGAACGACCGAGTTTTAATATAGATCTCTCTTAGCGAGGGGGCGAGTTAGGGAACGAAACTTTTTCCATTGTTCGCAGTATAGATTACCAATCTCCGTTAGACTTTTGGTATAATCAAAGGCACCGGATGCGTTTCACGACTCTCTTTTCTTTCCTTTTCTTTTTTTTTTATCGTTTTATCGTACCCTCCCCCCGATTGCAATTTAACGGCCAGATTCGTTGCCAGATTCATTTCCGTTTTATTTACCTGTTATCCGCGTTATTGGATAGAATGATGATTGGATAGATGATTTGCAATCATCGAAATTTATCGATGATTCAACGATCTAAGGTTAGAAATTATATTATAATATAAGTCAAAATTGGTTTTGAGAGTTGAAGAAAAGTTTGAGAATCGAGATTCAAGAGGAAAAATAACTCTCGAAAGAGCAACTTTCGAAACTTGTCGAGAATATTTTCTTTTTTCATAAATAATTTTCATTCTCGCCTAAGAATACTACTACCCCACCTCGAGATAAATATCTTCCAAGAGATTCCAAAGATTGATTCGAGAGTAAGTAAGAATTCAAGAATTAAATGGATATTGCACATTGAACTGTTAGTTACTGATTTTTTTCAAAAAAAGAAAAATTAGAATCGACGAATGAAAAATCTCGACTGGAGAGACGGTAAGAGAGGGAGAGCATCCTCTTTCGGTTTCACACAGCCAATGATCGCGTGTGCAATTTGCAGCAGTGATAATCAACGGCGCGAGCTCGTGACAACAACAACAACAACAACGCACACGCATCCAAGCCATTCGCGCCATTTCGTTCACACACACACACACACACACACAGATCTACACCCACGCACCAAAGGTGGTCAGGTTCAAGTGTTTTCCCGCACGTGCGCCACCGTACACTGGTGTGTTACCATAGGCGTCAGCTCTTTCGCTCGCCTTTTCTTTTCTTTTTTTTTTTAACGAGACCTTTCGTTCTCTACTCGCTCTGGTGAAATAATAATAATAAACAACACTATTAGCAGCCTAAAAAAAAAAAAAACGCAGCGGCACGTCTGATCGAGCCGTGTGTCTGATCGACTCGCTTTTTTTTTCGTGCTGAAGAGAGTCAACAGAGTCGGGGGTTGATTGCATGATACGCATCGAGACGATATCGCCTCGTTGCTATTGCGGACGCTTCTCGTCAAGGTGCTCTTGTTGTTCGCACACTGGTGCCTCGTTGCCGAGCCGCGCGCGTCATTCCCCCATTCGAAATATATATATATATGCATATATAGGCAGAAACTGTTGCAATTACCCCTCTATTGAGATCCTGATTCGTGGAAAATGAGCTCATGAGTTTTCTCGATATATATTCAAAATTTTTCCATTTGATCTGTGACGAACAATCGGAGATTTTGGTTATGCTTGAAATTTATTTTCTTCATTAAATTCTTCCGTCTTTCGAAAAGGGGTGTACGCGTCCGGCTCGGCGTTACATTCACGATGCCATGACGTATAGTATAAAAGTCATCGTGAACGGATATAGAAAACCCAATAAGAGTGAGCGAGAGCTGGTGAGTGAGCGAGTGAGTGAGTGAGTGAGTGGAGTGAATGAAAATGATCCACGACGATGTCGCGGATCGTGTGACTGATTCGTGTGTTAGTGAGCGTGTAAAAGTGATGGACAGACAGACAGACAGATAGATAGATAGATAGATAGATAGATAGATAGATAGATAGCTAGAGAAGGAGAGGTAGACAGAGAAGAGAGAATAGAATACGGAAGAGGAGTCGTGTATCTCGTGGGATGTGGGAGAAGAGAGTTCGTGTGGAAAGAGAGAGCGGGGGTCGGTCGCGTTTGAAGGGGGTGGGTTGTAAGGTTTGTCGGGTAACGATATTTCGTTAGTATGAGCGTGTAAAAAAGAAGAATATACGAGGTTTTCTTAAGTTTTTTTTTTCCTTATTTTTTTTTTTTTTTTTTTTTCCCTTTAATGTCGACACGACAGAAGCCGTGTTCCCGAGTTTGATCTGGAAAAAGGATTTATCTGAAAGCGATGTACAGTTGAGTACAGCGGTTTAACGAATCGGCAATCGACTAATTTTCTTCCATTTTATCGCCATAAAAACTTTCATCGAATGTGCGGAACGAATGAAATTGAGAAAAACGATATCTGAAGAAATATTATTGATCGGTCGATTGCCGATTGGTTCGTAAGATCGACACTGTTTTATGATGTTTCCGATGATTGAATTTGGATCGTATGTTCTCGTGTGTTTTATATATATATATATAGGTAACGTGTTTCTGCGACGGAGGCGAGGGTGTCGAACTTTTTCTCAGATCGTCGCTTTTCATTTCGATATGTATGCATTTATACACGCGCACGTGCGTACTTACAGCTCTCGATCTCGATATGGCAGAGCTGTCGGTCCATTGGAAAATATTGCAGATTCATTGGACACGATGCCGTGATCGTTAAACTGGAACAAACACAAAACATTAATTTCGTCTCTTTCGTGAGATTGATAAAAAAATGATAATCGGTTTCGTCTGATATTACTTTTCAAAACGATCAATTCTCCTAAAAATTAGTCAGGTCCTTGAAAAATTTTAATAAATGATTAAATTTTGGAGATAGATTTCTCGAAATTTTATTTTTTCCAGGTACAAATAATTCACGATAATTCTAAATCTAGTTTGCGGCGAGGAACGCTCGTTAATTATTTCACGAGTGTTAACACATAGCGGAAGAGAAACATGAAACTTTCAAAGTGTAACATGATACGATTGCGGTGTCAACGCTTAGAACGAATCTACTTATGAAAGAATGAACATCAAATTTTTATTAATCAACAAAATTTTTTCTTCGATCCATTTCTTTCGATCATTTTCCACCCTTCGAATCTCGAGATCTGAAAGATTGCAAAGAAACGAAAGGGTGGAAAAGGTAGAAGGAATCTACTTAAGAAAGAATGAACGTTAAATTTTTATTAATCAACAAAATTTTTTCTTCGATCCAATTTCTCTCGATCATTTTCCACTCTCGTCAAATCGACCTTCGAATCTCGAGATATGAAAGATTGCAAAGAAACGAAAGGGTGGAAAAGGTAAAACGAATCTATTTAAGAAAGAATGAATGTTAAATTTTTATTAATCAACAAAATTTTTTCTTCGATCCATTCAATTTCTTTCGATCATTTTCCACCCTTCGAATCTCGAGATCTGAAAGATTGCGAAGAAACGAAAGGGTGGAAAAGGTGGAAAAGGTAGAACGAATCTACTTATGAAAGAATGAACGTTAAATTTTTATTAATCAACAAAATTTTTTCTTCGATCCATTCAATTTCTTTCGATCTTTTCGATTTCTTTTCCATCCTTCGAATCTCGAGATCTGAAAGATTGCAAAGAAACGAAAGGGTAGAAAAAGTAAAACGAATCTATTTAAGAAAGAATGAACGTTAAATTTTTATTAATCAACAAAATTTTTTCTTCGATCCAATTTCTCTCGATCCTTTTCCACCCTTCGAATCTCGAGATCTGAAAGATTGCAAAGAAACGAAAGGGTGGAAAAGGTAGAAGGAATCTACTTAAGAAAGAATGAACGTCAAATTTTTATTAATCAACAAAATTTTTTCTTCGATCCAATTTCTCTCGATCATTTTCCACCCTCGTCGAATCGAATCTCGAGATCCGAAAGATTGTAATACAAAGGGTGGTATATTATGTAAAAAGTTAGGTATATTATGCATGAATGGTCCGAACATAGCGACACCGTTAATACCAGAACACTTTACGTTCAAAAGGGACGCGGAAGGGGATGATACGAGAGGGCTGGGGTCGAAGGATGCTCTGAACAAATTTGTCGTGGATATATATACGCGTACAACTGCTTTCTCGAGCTGTTTAGAGACGGCACGTGGTATCGAAACGGGGTTAAAATCGGGTCTGAACGTGGCAGTTTTATCGCGCCTCCTCGTTGCCTGCCAGAAAATATATTCCATTACTACGAAAAAGTTCGAAGACTTTTGACGTGGTCCAAAGCCGTGAAATATTGAACGCCCCGTCTTTTCGTTTATAGAAATTATTCCTCCTATTCTCGACTATCTTACAGTTATATAGAAATAAGAAATTGGCGCTAGTATCGAAATCGTTACTATTGCATGTTTCTTTATCTGCCCAATAAAGAAAATGCTTTTATTATTACGTGAATATACATATATACTTTCCTTTTACGAATAATTATACGATTTCGAAAGATTCTTATCTCGCGTAAGTGTTTCGAGACGGAAATTGAAAATTCTTTTACAACAAAACATCTTAATATAACATACACACGCACACCTTTTTAATAAATAAAATCAATTAAAAAAAAAAAAAATACTCACTTCAATTTACACGTAGAGAAACACGTATATATAAATATCGTATATATAAATTCACGTGTAGACAACTCACCGTATACTACGTGTGATGCTTCCCGAGTGATGAATACGAATGAACTCGTTGCTGGTGGTAGCAATATGAAAGTACGACTGCTTCTCGTTGACGAAGAACGTGTCGGGTACCCAGATGTTCTTGATGAACTCGGAGCCGACGCTCAGCGTCTCGACCCCCGTTCGTTTCTTGAACGCGAGCCGTGGATCCGTCCAGAATTGCCGGAAGTAAAAATCCAGCGTGAAGTCCTGGTACGAGACACACACACGCACACGTGCGCGTTCATTAGTCCCTTGAATGGCAATACGTATTCCATATGCGTACGATAGCGCGAAGAAAAGGGTGGAAGAACGTTTGAAGCATACGCTATATGGTCGAAATAATTTTCACGCAAAAAAAAAAAAAAAAAGAAAATAATTAAATTAAATAATCGGCAATCGAGAATTCGTCGGGGATGCGGACAATGCGACGTGACACGTTGTGTAATAATTCATTGTCTCCCGTTAAAAAAAGAAAATAACACGATTTTCGTCGGTAAAACGAAAGAGAACGCGGAGAGCCGATGTGTGTGTTTGCACGCGCGTAGAGACAGATTTAGGCATCGATTAAATTATCCGATTAACGCGATTTGTACACGTTTTTAATCACGTATTTCAACACGTTGTTCCACGTTTCTTTTTTTCCCGTTTTTTCTCGCGCGTATCGTTTCGTCTCTCTTTCTTTTTTTGTTTTTTTTTTTTTTTTTTT